TTAATTTTGCTGTTCAGAGGGGTTGATGGATATTTCCCAGGAGAATAGCATATGATTCCAATATGATCACTTGGGAGACATGTCTACATGTACCTAAAAAAAAAAAAAAAAAAAAAACAGAGAGAATTTTTTAAATTAATAAAGTAGCTTAGCTTCTAATTAAGGTAAACACAAACAATTTAAAAATGAGAAATCTAACTAAAAAGAAACATCTTTATTAATAAGATCATGGGATTCGCAACAAACTGAGACATTTCATTATATATATATATACTCGAAAAAGCACATAACAAAATCAAAATTAAAAAACTAAATAAATAGTGTACCTGCAGGATTAGCACAAGAAATTAAAGGAAGTTGAGACACTAGGGCCAAGCAAAAATTAGAAGTAGCTTAATTGCGCGATTGCAGAGCCTGAACTTTCTTTCTGATTAGAAAAGTTGAACCGGCCACGGATAAGAGAGAATATAAAGTGAGCAAGTCAATGCGAGAGTCAAGAGGATGTTTCTTGGAAGATGCATAGCAGATACTAGTGAGATAAGGCGGGTGGGACGAGACCGATATATCAGACATCGTCCACGTCTCAGCTTCAAGATTTTTCGGAGACGAAATGGTTTTGCTGGACAATCAAGCTGTCCTCAATGCGCTTCTTCTCAAAGCCGACTGGTTCTCAGAATCTTTTCGGAAAACCAGTTGGAGCTGCGAAGAGAGCTGGGATGCTTCAAGGTTTGATTTAAGACCGGGGAAGGAGAGAAAACCGGCGAAGAAGTTTCTCGTCTGAACACGTTGAAGAAATCGAAAAACTGGCAAAATCGGTTTCCCGGTGATAGTACGCGTCGAGATTCTTTTTTCTTTTCTTTTTATTTTTTATTTTTTTAAAGAAATTTATCAAGTTCTCGAATTTTGGGATTTCACTATTTTAGATAGAATATTTTAAAAATTACGCAGAAACGCATTGCACCATACGAAGAATGCACGAAAAATAGAGAGTTGAAATTACGTGATTGTTCGTATGTATAAGTAATAAATGAAAAATGCAATAGCTAATTTTGAATTTTTTGTTGATTTCTGTTACCAGCTCATATTTACATATCTTAAAAAAATTTCTTGAAATTATTGATTAAATTTATTTAGAGTAGTTTTTTTATTTAAAAATTTGACTAATATTTATAAATATAAGTTAAATATGTATCAATTATATTTTTTATATTTAATTATTATAAAAAAATTGAAAAATTGTCACTAGCTCTTTTCATCACTCAGCTTGTTACTTAAAAAAAAAATAATAATAATTGAACTAGCAATTAATCGAAAGCAAGAAATCTAAGGTAATCAAATTGTGCAGCAATAGAGAAATCTAAAATTGAAGATCCAAATAAATAGTGTACCTGCCGCAACTTTAGCAAAAAGAATCGAAGAACGTTGGACACTGGTACCAAAAGTAAGCCAAGCGAATTAGAATATGTAGCAGATCTGCAAATTTGCAACGGCAAGCTTAATTTTGCTGTTCAGAGGGGTTGATGGATATTTCCCAGGAGAATAGCATATGATTCCAATATGATCACTTGGGAGACATGTCTACATGTACCTTG